AAAGCCACCCTGGACTACATGAGATTGATTCAGTCTAAAAGAGAAACAGAGCCAGGCAGTGGTGGCACACACCTTTAATCCTAATACTTGGGAGTGACACTCCTTTAATCCTAGCACTTGGGATATCATGGCTTTGCTACCAGTATTTGGGAAGCACACACGCCATTAATCCAGCACCAGGAAGGAAGTGAAATGGCTGGGTGGAGAAAGGCTTATAAGGCCTGAGGAGACAGGAACTAGAGCCTTTCGGCTGAGATCTTTTTGGCTGAGGACTCAGGTTTGCAGTCTGAGGATTCCTGTCAATAGGATTTTGTCTCCATTTTGGCCTGAGGATTTCAGTAATAGTAAGTTTCTCTAGTAGTTTGTTCCTTTGTCTCTCTGATCTTTCAGCATTTACCCCAATATCTGGCTCCGGGCTTTTCATTATAAGACCATTGAGGATGGTCTTATTCTGTCCTTGTTTACTTCATGTTTGAGCAGTCTTGTTGGTGAGATTTATGGGTGTAGCTTCTGACATTACTAGGGAACAATCTCACAACAAACTCCCAGATTCTCTCTCTCTTACAGTCTTTTTGTTCCCTCTTGGGCAAACATTCCCTAAGCATTAGATGTGGGAGTTGTTTTGAAGATGTAGCTGTTGGGATTGGACTCCACATCTTGATTGGTTGTAGTTTTCTGCAACAGTCTCTGCTTGTTGCAAAGGGAAGCCTTCTTGATGAGGGGTAAGAACTACATTTATCAGGGCTAGCCCCTGAAGAAGGATGTCTCTTCTGCCAAAGTATTTATTTTGGTGGCCAGTCGACCCAGCTTTTTGTTGTTTTTGTTTCTTTCCCTGGAAGCTGGGGATGTGGCTCAGTGGTGCAGGACCTGCTTAGAGCGTGTGAGGTTCTAGGTTCCGTCTACAGCATGGAAGGGAGAAGGGAAGCAAGGAGGAGGGAGAGGAGAGGATGGAGAAGGGGAGGGAAGAGAAAACCGATGTATCAACTTCAAGTTCATGAAAACTTCCTCCTGTTTTCATCTGGGAACTTAAGTTTCTCCTCTTATGTTTAAATCCAGTCTTCAGAAAACCATTAAAAATTGTGATAAGGATGCTGAAGTGTAGCTCTTCAAGGTTGACGGCTTCGGGTGGGGATGTGGGGGGGGAAGGGCTCAGTCTTCTCTCAGGGTGTCCACTGGGAGTTTGACATTGCCCAGTGAGTATATGAGCAACACAAAACAGAACTTGTTTTCTTCTTCTTCTGCTGTTTTGGAGAAGGTCACAATGGTCGGGGGCAGACCTGGGAGGACTGGAGTGAATGTGATCAGAGTGCATTATGTGAAATTTCCAAATAATCAATACAAAATTACATAATCAATCAATCCAGTCTTCCTGTGTCACATAGGATGGGGTTGAAATCTTGGAGGCCTGCCTGTGTTCCATAGCCATTTGTTGAAGACTTTTGTTTAGCTTCTTGTTTTTTTGAGACAGAGTTTCTCTGTGTAGTTTTGGTGCCTATCCTCGATCTTGCTCTGTAGCCCAGGCTGGCCTTGAACTCACAGAGATCCTCCTGACTCTGCCTCTCGAGTGCTGGGATTAAAGGCATGTGCCACCACCTCCTGGACATACTTTTGTTTTTTATTTATGGCTAAGACTATTTTTTTAACCCATAATTACTTGGCTTTATGACCATATATGATTATCAGTGCCACACTGCCATTTTTATAAAATTTGTTTTATAAAATTGTAAAGCCTGCATTATATTATCGTTACCATTTTTAAGTGCAGTTCAGTGGTATGAAGTACATTCACCTTATGGCACAGCCATCACCATCAACTGACTCAGAAGGTTCATCTGGCAGAACTGCAACCATGTCCCTTCACAAACTCATTTCCCTCTCCCCTTCACCCCTACCCTGCACAATACCTCCACTTTGTCAGTTGAGTGACTATTAGTACTTCCTGTTTGTAGAATCATGTTGTGAAGGTCTGTTTTGGTTATCAACTTGACTGCATCTGGAACCAACTAGAATCCAAGCCGCTGGGCACCCCTGTGAGGGATTCTTCTCATTGGATTATTTGAAAGAGGAAGAGTCATCCTGAGTGCGAGCCACACTTTTCTTTTTCCAGATAAAAGGACCTGGACGGAGACTCTGGCCACTCACACTGTCACTGCCAAGTTCATCTGTCCTTTGCTGGTTGATAGGAAAACCAGCTTCTTTGGGATTCCAACACTCTCCAGGGATCTTCCAGGCCTCCAGGGTACAATGGGGATTGCAGAGATAGCCAGCCTCTTGGGCGGAGCAACTAATAGATTTTCAGTCTTTTCAGTAAGAGTGAGCCAATAGGCCCCAGTCTCCCATGGCCTTTGCTTCAGTTTCTGCCCCTAGATTTCTGCCCTCACTCCCCTTCATGATGGGCTATGACAGGATGTTTAAGCCAAATAAACTCTTTCCTCCATAAGTTGTTTTTTGTCACGGTGTTGTATCACAGCAACAGAAAGCAAACTGATACATTTGGTGTCTATCCTTTATGGCTGGCTTCATAACATAAAGGTGAAATACCTTTAAATTGCATCCATGTTGTATATCAAGCTTTTAAGTACGAAGGAGTC